ATAGATCTTGAAAATAAGTGTAACTCTTTTCTACCATAATTATCCTTAAAAAAATAATAAATTTGAGAAATGATTTTAAACTTTCATAATATGGTATTTGATTAAGCTTTTGTTTTTGTAAGGTTAGGTTGTTATAGCTTTATTTGAATCAAAAAATCATTTTACTGGAGGAGCCGCAATTGAATTGGAAAGCAAAATAATTTTTAAAAAAATAGGTGATTACAAATATGATATAAAAAAACTTAAAAAATTTTAAAAACTAGAAAAATTTAAAAATTAAACTTTATTAAAAGCTAACTTTATCTTTAAAGCCTTCATGTGTATTGTAATACTGTAAATTTTAAACTTATTTTTAGCAAATTAATAAGTTATCAAACCAATTTAATAATATTGAATACTTATCATGATAGAAAAATGACTACCATGATAATTAAAGAATAGAAAGACTATTATGGTAATTAAAGAATAGAATCCCTCCTCTTTTTAGACCCTGCTATGGTAGAATTTTGTTTTATATAAATAAATCATTTCATCATTAACTTACTATAGTAGAAAGAATTTAATATAATAATTTTACCTTTACCATAGTAAATAAAATGATAGTAGTGTTGTCTGTAACTATTAAGATCCTATTTCACTAACCAATATTTTAAAATTAATATTTATTTCTAAACCACAACTAACATGAAAGCATATTATCTCAAGGTGGCAAATTCCCAAACACATACTAGCAAAACTTGTGACATATTAATGTAATCCAAGTGCACATCCCAAGCTATATACAATAAATTCTATTAAATCATAATACCTTCCAAACAAAAATTTGCTTAATAATACCTAAAATGGGTTCGAACAATATTCACAATAGTTCAACACTAGTTCTCAATTGAAAATAGTTTTAGGATGTACACTTGTCTTTAAAATAATCACATCTATCAACATATATAATACATATTTACTAACTACTCAATACTTCTATGAAAATATGACTATATCATTAATATATCAAAAAGCAGTTAGGACCATAAAAGACAGACATAATTCTCATGACATAGTATTCAAATTTAAGTCAATGACTAAGAGAGACAAAGAGAATCCTCTTGACTAAGAGAGACAAAGAGAATTCTCTTGACAAATAAGATGCAATGGATCATAAAATGAGCCTACATACTCCACAAAAATGTATCCACTACATAACATAATCAAAATAATGAGGTTAAGTTAGAAAATGGTGTTTCATACACTATGTCACACCTCAGGTGCTTCTCCAGCCGAATCCATTCTTGTAAAAATTAGAAATTACAGGAATGAGACTTAAAAGTCTCAATAACCATAATTAATATATAGAAATGCATCAGGATGCACTTAATTATGTGATTTCTAAGTAGGCACACAAAATATTCTGAACGAATATTTTCAAACAAACTAAACAAATATTTAATTACATGATTATACCCTACATCCCTCCATATACCACACCCAAAAAACCAAATCACCCTACCAAAGGTGAGTTGAATTAAGTTACAAGCTACTTACTGAGTTAAATGAGAGCTTATTATGTGATAATAATTGTCCAAACAAAAATTCTCCAAATACACCGACAAGTCATGCATATTTTGAACAACTGAACAAAAACATAACTGAATAGCTCTCATGATTTTGAACAATAATATCTCAATATAATACACATGTATAATTTTATTCAGAAAATTATGATTATGATTCAGAAAAACACACACACACACACTCCAATTGGTTAAATCACTAAAGCAGCATTCTGACACTTGAGAAAATTTTTTCTATGCTTAAATAAACATTTAAACATAAAAAATTAACCCTAATGGTTTAAATTCAACCAAAATTCCATCATATGAGTCTAGAGTTTTATTCAAAATTCTCCAATTCAGATTTAAACCTTAAAGAAAGGTTTTATTGCATTTATTAGACTCCTAATACCCTCAACAACTATAATAAATCATCACAGCTTCAAATTAAACACCACATAGGAAACCCTAACTCAAACATCTTCCTTAAACTAAAAAAACAAAGTATGTAGAAAGATAGCTTAAAGGACTAAAAACTTGCCCTAACTAGTTGCACAGCTAAAAAATACTCTTAATTTGCCAGAATCTCTTACTGTAGCAGAGTCTTTTTGGATCTTCCTTTGACTTCTTTCTCCCTTTCTTCACATTTTGATTGAAATGCAAACTAAGGATGCCTTTTAATTTGCTTGTCCATGTGCGGTTGTGGCTAGCGCGAGCTAGTCCGCGCATATATAAGCCTTTAAATGAAATGCCTGCGTCGTGCTCTTTCATTTGCGTGTTGTGGAGCCCTGAGCCTAATTCTACCCTTTTCGATCTCGATCCAGCTCAATTACCTATTTTGAACCCTATTAGTACTTCTACAAGGTTTTTGGTCCAGTAAAACTCATAATTAATTGCCTAAATATGTCATTAACCTCAAGCAACCTCAAATGTATTATTATTCCTAAATTTCACCTCAAAGTAAATTTCAAATCTTGATATTAAATCCTCAAGTTTCCAATTTATTTCTTAAATTAAAAATCATGGTGTTACATGTATATGATATGTCCTAGGACCATTTCCATGAAAAGATGTTAACTATTGTACTTATAGGTATAAATGTTGATACTTCTGAATTGACTCATATTTGACTTAATTAATATTTACTTATATTTAACATCTTATAAAATTATAATGTATAATATTGTTTACTTATGGTCATATTGTGTTTTTTTATTAACAACTATACATATTGTATAAATTTTTTTCTTATGTATTATATGCATTTAATATTATTTATTGATTATATTACCAATAATATCATTGGTCTAAGCAGGTTAGATCATAAAAAATAAAACTCACTAACCTTTGAGGTTGAGCCCGATTTGGCTTCTAAAATATTGGTTATGAGAGTTTGTTATCTATTTGGTCCCCATTATAAGGGACCCTTAACTATATCATCAAAACTAAGGAAAGATGCTAAGTTATTGATTTTATTTGAAAATATAATAAATTTATAATTTTATCCTTGTTTAAATTAAAAATTTTAAATTTGCATTACATTATTTCTTATAGTTAATGAGTTTAAAAGGAAATAATATAGGAATAACATAATTAATACCTCACCAAGTGCTTTATATTGAAAATTTAAGAATCTTTTTAGAATATGTTCTATAATAAGAATTGAAGGAAATATATATATTTAAAAAAATTTCTTATAGAATAGTTTAAGAATTAATGGGCCAGATGTTATTATCGAACTTCAGAGAGATGTGTTCAATGAAAAGTAGTTAGGGTATACCGAATGAAAACTTAAAAAATATAAGAAAATGATTAATTAACATAACAAACATCATAAAATCCAAGAGAAAAACTAAGCATCGAGAAGAAGAGATCCTCCTAAAAAACTTGAATGATCAGAGGCTGAAATAAGGCCAATAGCATACGAAGATCATTAATCACAGCATTTTTATTTTTCTTGTTTAAAAGGACATTCTCGAAGTAATTCCTTCTGAAGCACTTAATCTTCAAGCTCGAGCTAAATGGAGCATCACTTGAGAAAACACCACCAAACTCGATGTTATTCTTTTGGAGATTAGGCAACACTCTTAGGAAGTTAAAAATCGTAAGCAGGTTAATGCACTTGTTTTTTTTTTTTTAATGAAAAAGGAGATCTAAATGGGTCCCCTAAAATGATTCGAGAAGCATTAGTTTAAGGGTTTTACTTATTAACCAGTTCAAACACTTCGGTTGAGAAAGTATTTGACATCAATTGACAATTTAAAAATGCAGTCAATTGGAGATGTTGGGCAGTCAAACCTAATGCAACGACCCGTTTGTTTTATCACGTTGCCATTTGGATTGGGTGAAGTGTGCCACTTTGCCATTTTGATGTGCTTGAAACTTGAAACCTGAAAGCTGAAAGAAAAGCGGTCACAGTCTCATTCTCCGCTTTGAAACGTATCCGAGCAAGTTTTTTCAATAACAATTTTTTAAAAAAAGATTCATATTTTTATTGAAGAGAGACAAGCACCCAATCACTAGAATCAATTGATATTAATTTTAATTCATTATGCAATTATCTAATATCAAATATTTCCTTCGTTTTAAATTATAAGATACTTTTAAATAAAATTTTATACATTAATAAGGCTTATTAAATACATTTTACAATCTTACTTTTTCAAGATAAAAATATAAACTTTTAAAAATACTTTTCATTTGATATTTCATTGATAAAAAAATAATAAAGAGATAGAATACATAGGAAGGGTAATATTAAAAAGTATAATTGATAAAATTTTATTTTTATTAAAATATCTTATATTTTGAGATGTTAAATCTTTCTAAAAGTATCTCATAATTTAAAATAGAGGGAGTACTTTTATATTAAATTCAAGCATTGACATGTCCATTTAGAATAAGTAAATAACTATAGTACTATACTATCAATTAAATTAAGGCAATTTTTTAAAACTTCAAATGCTCACGAACAAACTCTATAAACTTTTACAATTTTCTCATATTATAACAGCTTAATTAAAAAAATTATTATCTATGAAAATTTAATCATTTAACTTGTCATTTATTAAATTTTAAATAACAAAAAAATTACTTACATATAAAAAAATATAAAAATAAATTAATACGTGCAATTTAGTTGTTTGTAATTTACAAACCGTAACAATTAATAAAACATGGCCCACAACCACCTTTGGGGGCACGGCAGCACGGAATAGAGGATGGACGATCTTCCCAAAGAAGGGTCCGTATAATCTATTCGTAATTGGGGGCAAGCGGGTAAAATAGTTTATTTTAAATCCCTCGTGCACGTATGCCTGGACTTTGACCCACGAGGTCAAACAAGAAATGTTGACCACGTTTTTAATGTGATCCAGCCCACCATTTTCCTCCCCCTATATAAATTCAACATTCAAGAATGCTCGTTTCTTATAACATTTTCAACCGTATCAGCAACTGAAATTTTGAAAATTTCCGCTAAGCATCAAGAGAGCACAGTAAGAACATGGAAGGTTTCTTTCCCGACAAATTTCTGGACGATGCTTTCTGGGACGAATCTCTCGCAAATCAGAATGATTTTCTTCGGCAAACAGAGATCGGGACCCCCCAAGAAAGCTTTCAAGTCGGATCGAGTTCCCAGAACTCCATTGTTGAAGATGAACCTCCTGCTGCTGCTGCTGCTAGTCAGAGCGATTTTCTTCAGTATAGTGACTGTCTCAGAGCTGGGCTCGGGCAAGAAAGTTCACATAACGGATCAAATTCAAATGAGGGTGCTTTTGTTCGATACAGTGACCTACCAGGAATGGAATCAGGGCGAGAGAATTCTTGTTCTATTAACGTGAAAGATCATGGCCACGGAGCTTCTTCTGCTGCAAATCACAGTGCGTTTGTTCAATACAGAGAGCTGCCCAGAACAGGGTATGGTCAGGGAAGTTCAAATGTTATGAATATGAGAAGGAGAATGATTGATTACATGAGAAGCAGTAGTCCTGCAGAGAGGAGTAACATGGCAGAGTATGAAAGAGAACGAGGTTTCAGGCACATGATTAACGAGAGGATGAGAAGGCACAGACAGAGACAGTGTTGCTTGGCCCTGCACTCTATATTACCATTTGGAACCAAGGTATTCCGAAAACTTCTCAACCTTTTTTTCTGGCGAATTTAATTATAGATTTCTGATGAGCTACTCCTCTGTTTCTTTGGGCAGAACGATGTTAATTCAGTGGTTCAAATGGCAGCCAAGGAGATTCAAAAGCTAGAAGCTTGCAGGGATGAATTGAAGAGGCAAAATTCAGAGCTTGAAGTAAAAGTTAAAGGACAACAAAGCAGCAAAATTGAGTTAAGGGTGGCTCATCCTACTTCTCCAATAAACTCAATGCTCGAGACTCTTCAATTATTGAAGGACCTTGGAATGAATACCAGAAGTATCACTTCAAATTTCTCTCATCATGAGTTGTTTGCATTGTTAGACATGCATGCCCAGGTATCTAGCTCGATCTCCTTTTTGTTTTTGAGACATTTTTGGATGCATCGCTTGTCAAAACACTATTTTGCAGTTCGTCACAAATTACAAATCAATGAATAAATGGGTTGGATTTGGTATGCGGTGTTGCTTAAGTGATGTTACTCCCTCCGGGCTACATAAGACGTTTTATATAGGATATGAGTATGTTATATATATATATATATATATATATATATTATACTCTTACTTTATTATGTTTCACTCAAAAATATAATTAGGAAGATGTAATTTTTTTAAAATAAAATTAAAATTTGAACTGATTTTTTAGAAGGTAAATTAGTTAACAATGAATTATATCATAGGGGAATATTAAATTTATAATAAATCTTAGGTATAGCTCAACAGATTACTGTGTAATAGCAGATTGATAAGTATAATTTTAACAATAAACTTAGTCAGGTATTGACGAAGTTCTGTACCATTTTTATACTCACTATGTCAACTTATATCTATCTAATATAAGAAAAGAGCCCCCTTACTAATAATTTGTTAAGATTGTGATTTGCTATAATTATTTTTATATTAACATGCATGATATACCTCAAACAAAATTTTGTTTATAAACAAATATTATAATGAATATGAGACCCCGAGTCATTGTCGTACGTCACTTCGTTGGTCAACTAGCGGGTAATAATTAATGTTATAAAAAGTAGTAGGTAATGAGATAGGAAATTCCATTATATATTATTTAATTAAAAAACATATTTTTCTTTGTTTAATTAAGATGAACTCAGTGTATTTGTATGGAGTTTGAGATAAGTTGACCACTTCCTGCACGCACTTCTTATTTTTTTTATATTGATATTTGATTGAGTCATGTTTGAATATTATCAAATTTAATAGGGATAACTCTAAATAAACATTTAATGACTCAAATTTTCTATATTTTAGATTTATTAATTTTTTTTATGAAAAATAGTATGAGTATTGCGGCATATTAATACTGCTTGATTTTGTATTCATAGGACTATTATTGACCTATTATTTTCATCAATCTTAGAATACTTTCACTGTTCTACGTGTGTTTTTTCTTATTGAAATAATGCTAATGAAGTCATTTTCGTTGTGGAAAGATGGAAGATGCTGAGGCAGAAAGGGATACCGAAGGTGCGGTGAACGAAAATGAACGGAAGCTTCATTCTCATGACGGAGAAATTTTCAAAAGGCAGAGACTATGAATGAAATCACGACGGAAACAGATGTCAAATTTTGTAAATTACACCTATTAATTAGTAATTTGTCTCTGAAAGGGGTGAAAATGTCATTTCACTTTCACATTCGTGGCGTCATGTGTACAGTAACATAATTTTAAGGAAAATATTGATAAAGATCTATTAGCCAGATTATTCTAAATTGGAGCTCCTAAATTTATAAAATACCATCACAGTTTAAGAGTTTTAATTTGATATTAAAATTATAAGAGAAATAAAAAAATTATCTCTTATTTAAATTGATATCAAAACTGTTTTATTTTACTTATTCTTTTACTTGCATAATGTTATTTATTATCATATTTCACTTGATTTAGTTGCAAGTATTTAAATTATCTTAAGACAATTTGTTAATTTCTATACTTTATAATATATACTTACTTACAGACTGTTGTTCATTATTCTATTTCACTTGTTCATTGCCTTATTTTTACTTAATTTTATTTTAGAGAAATAAACAAGTGAAATAGGGTATTGAACAATATTTCATAGTTAAATGAATAAATAAAGTAGATTAATGAACAAGTGAAGTAAAACAATTTTAATATTAAATAAATGAGGGAAAATTTTATCATTTTTTTATAAATTTAATATCAAATCAGGACCTCTAGAGTGTAGTGATATTTCAAAAATTTAGGGACTTTGATTCAAAATAAGTTTGATCAATGGATCTTTATTGATATTTTTCCTTAATTTTAAGGTTCTGATTGAGACTTCATTTATCCCTCTTTTAAACAATGTAATATATCTTTAACTAAATCTCACACTTTAACAAATTAGTTAATTATTTTTAAACTAATATTATCTTTTTATAATTACTCTTATTTAATAAGGTGTTTGATTTAAAAATAAATATAATATTATTTATTTATTAAGACATTTTAAAATAAAAAATATTAATTACATTTTAAAATATTAAAAATATTCTATATTTTTTAATATATAACCTTTTGAAAAATGTCTTATATTTTTTTAAGAAGAGAGTATGAAATACCTTCTTTTTGTGCTCATAGATTTTAAAGTGTTACCATGCATTGATCTTAGCTTTGCGTGACACACTTAGCCGAATTATATGATTGATGTCCTAGCTTTATTTAAAAACAATTACTTTTTAGGAGAATCACATCCAATCCAAAGACTTAGGAAAATAATTATTCATGGATAAAAATTAATACGAAATAGATTATTGTTAAAATAAGATATGATTAGTTTTTTCTTAAATTGAACTTATTATTGATCTTGGTCTGTGAGTAATTTTCTCCCCAGGTTTTTGTATGTGATTCTGCCGTATTTTTTTGGTCACAAGACTAACATGTATATTCATAATATATACTTTGGCGTGCGTTTTCAAATGAAAAAAAAAATGTGGTCTTTTTTCTCACTAAATGTTGGAAAAATAAGTTTAAAAACACTTCAAAAATTTTAATAAGATATTTCTTTTAAGGATTAAAGTACATTTGTAATGGTCAGCTGTTAATAAAAATGCATCATTATACTGATTTTAAAACATAATATGTTGTACTACTGCTACATTACTCCACAATTTTTGAAGATATCCATATATTTTCTGAAAATATTTCAGGATAAAAATTCACTTTAATTCTTCTTTTCTTCATGTGAGAATGAAGGATCTTAGGATAAGAATGTATCAATGTTTTATTATTTTAAGTAAAAATAAGACATCCTAACAATATTTTGATTTTGAATTATTTGAAGAGTTTTGTGGTTGGTATTGTTTCAACGTTGTGGAAGACTTAGTGCGGTTCATAGATTCAGCAGACAATATTGTTTTTGCATTGGTCGCTAGACAAGGTAATACTACTGCCGCATATTTTCTTGCAATTTGCGGAGCTAAGAAGATGGTTCTGCAAGGATGATTTTCAGTTGCATCATATTCTTTATGGGTTGTATTAAATGATGAATCAGTGAATGGCTGTAATGTTGTTAATGTGATTGAGGAAGATAGAACTGGTATGGGTTGATCTTCTGGCTTTTTGTCTTTGTTTTTTGTTGTTTTTTTTTTTTTTTTTCGGGGGGAGTTAGGTGTTAGTTTGCATTTGATAGATTTCTTTGAGCTTTTCTAGCTTCTGCCATTGGTATTTATATACTTTTCTTTTGGTGATTAATGATATTTTTTTTTTGGCAAAAGAAAGTAAAAATAAAAGAGAACATAAAATAAAAACCACTTTTTAATCATGAGTTTTTTAAAAAATCAGCTTGAGATAGAAATGATTCAAATTATAATCTATAGTCTAAACTACCCTAGTAAATCAATCTAAATAATCTGAATTACGTTCTTTCATTCTCCAGTGCAGCATGCGCAACCAGGACTGGTTTCTCTCCATTAAGTCTCTCTTTAGAGTTTAGAATAACTGTGTGGAAGTGGATCCTGACTGTAGTAAATCTTGAATAAATCCTGAAATACCAGAAGAGATCGAACACGACTCATAGCTGATGACGTAATTTACATGGTCAAAAACATAGAGCAACTGGGAAGAGGAACATCGTTCTTGGAAAGTGATTGAGCAATTCTATTTTTATCTTTCAATTTCGCAAGAAGAGAAAAAAATTGGCAAAAATAGTCAAAATTTTTAATCTATATTTATAAGTCCCAACTTGAACAAATGCCTAGAAACCTAACATTCTTTTCTTTTGGATCTTTTCTACCATATCTTCTTCAGATGGAATGCCATACCCAGATTTTGAGCTCGTGCTCCACCAAGCCATGATTTCTTCCTGTACAAGGCGAGACAAGAGCACTGGGTTACAATGAAGTATGCATCCAAATCAATCATTACAGAACCATTTCTTCATACAACTACATTTATCATCTGCTTACATAAAAGGGAGTAAGAATAAACACATTCGGTTCTCAAAAGATTTACTTCCTAAAGGCCTTTGTCTTGATTTAATCCTCCTCTAAACTACTCTAGTCTTTCAAAGTTTGTAACTTGCCTTCCGTGAGATGTGTCAATCTAATCAGTAAGAACTAAGAAGTAAAATCAGGGCCAAAATTTATTATCCCATCAAGTACAGTTTACAAAAGCTTGAAATTATTACACGGTGTGAAATAAAAGAAAAGTCAGCACAACTGGCATAGGGTACTACCTCAAGGAATTCTTGATTTGAAATATAACGACTTCCAACCATACAGTTGATCCCCCCTACGTTCACACAGAGAGATGTTCTGGTATCCTGCTGTGAATTCTGTTTATGTGCCTCTGTAAATGCAATAAAACAGCCAAAAATACAATGAAATGGAACGAAACCGAGGAAGCAATTCAAGGATTTCCATAACTTGGTCCAAAGATGTCCCAGTAATAAAAAGTACATCTAGTTATACCATTTATAGAGGCCACATAATATCCAGTTCTCCCTAGACCTCCTTCCCACTTCCCTAGCCGCAACCGCAAGTAAAAGCCGTTAAGGTGTGATAATGACATATGAGAGCTAATCCATCTGGAAATAAAGGACATTATGTCAAAGAATATTTTGAAGCTGAAAAGAACAAAGTTTTAAGAAAAATAAACATGGCATATGTGCTCTGATCATATTAACTCTTCAAAAACTTTACAATGATAGTTGGGTACACGGAAAACATTTTTAGCCTCCTCAAATTATGTTGTGCATTTGGTGTCGTTAAGAATTCCAAGTCTGAGAAGAATTCTCATTGGGTAACTTAAAGAGTTTGGTCAGTAAAGAAAATAACAACAGTATAGATAATCTTTCAATCAGTAGCAAGAGGAATCATCCGTACAAGCATAAACATCATACAGGTGTTAATGATGACTAAATTAATATTTGCTGGCTAATGAATAAATTACACCTCACCAAACATCATTTTAAACAAGAATCCAATAATCATACCATAATTACTAATTTTAGGGTGTTTCTTTGATCATAGAGGGAAAAGGTGTTAATGATGACCAAATGATGAGATCAATCAACGCCATGGTTGTGTAAAATAATTTAAGAATATCATGTTCCATGTTTCTGCAATCTTTCCCTCTGAAACAGGATTTTTAATGTCTTAAGATGAACTATTTGGGTTCTTAATCTACATTTTAAAACTGTCGTAAGTTATTTATCCTTTATGCAACAAACAAGGACCATAGCAACATACAAAAACTAATTCAAAACAAGAAATGACTTAACAAAAGCTACTTGGCATGCATTACTTACTTCAGGATATCAGTGCGGGTTAAACGAAGCTTTTTAACTGCATCAAAGATTTTTTCTGGTACATCTGAGATTTTTCTTTCTACAAAGCAAGATGGAGGTCTCATAGAACCAATGTATTTCTTGATTGATACATTAGACCATATCTTATCAGAGGTCATAACTTCATTTAATTTCCGCTTCAAGTTGAGAGTTTTCTCTGGTATGCGATCAGGTTCATCGTTCTTAGCACAACCAGATAAAAATTGGTCACCCTCATCATCCGTAGGTAGTTTGTGTATCTCTCTATAGCCTTCTGTAAACCGTTTTGGAATGGGGCTACAATCATTCACCAAAGCATTGACTCCCAGTTTGCATTTCCCTCTTGGGAGGGAGGTGGGACATGAAATAGCCCAGTGATTAGGCCGAAAGCATTTAATGCAGAAACAGGCCAGTCCGTCCAACCCCACACGTGACTTCACTTTCTTTAGGAGATCTGGAAGTTCAGTTCCAGAGGTCTCTGAGCAATCGCAAAGTTGATGACCTTTAGTCCCACAAAACAAACAAATCAGCTCTCCCTTGCTGGCTTTATCAGTTCCATTTGATGATATGATATATCTGATGGCATCCAATCTCCTTGCAAACATAGAAAACACTGGCTCTGAATTTTTGCATCTTTGGGAAGGCCGCATTGGGTTGATATGCATTGAACTATTGTCAACCTTATCACCCATAATATCATTGGAAGCCTCTGTATTGATGGAATGGTTCTGTGACTCTTTAGCCTCATCAGCAGATTGCTCTTCATGATTCTCTTCAATCTTGCACTTGTTTGACTGAGCAATGTGCTTTTGGGAATGGGGAAGCCTTGAACAATCACTGGAGTCTGCTTGAGTCACACCACTCCTTATGAGGTGATCAGAGATTTTTAAGGGGGAAACTGGCCTCGGGAAAAATCTAGCTATCCACTGACTCCCCAGAGTATCATTTCTGTAACAGCTATTATCTACTTCCTTTCTCTCAGACAGCAGAGAGGAATCAATATATTCGGTATTGTTAGTTTTTGGTCCAGCTAAGGATGAACTTGATGTCTTTCCTTCTCTCTCCTTACTAAGACCTAAGTTTGAACAATCTTTATTCGCCGTTGAATTGCTTTTGCTGCTTTCATGAAAGTTAGCAAAATTCATAGCCTCATTCTTAGGATGGGATGACGAGCCAGTTTCATATATCCACCGTGATCTTTCAACTTCATCCAAGTTCAAATCTTGTTTGTAAAGGGTGTCATTCTTTGCATAACAGGTTACTAAAGTAGCATCTATTACATGCACCTTGTTTTCTAGATCAAAACTTTTGGAATGCTCTTCTAAACGCTTCAAGCTTGGAGAATGCACGGACTCAAAAATAAATTGAAAGCCAGTATTTTTTGGTTCTGTATTTTGATTTCTATTGAATGTGATAAGTTTCTGATCAGGCCATTGATCAGCGTGATCTGGATATGCAAGAGTATGAGCCAAGCAGTTTCTTGCTTCTTGAATTGATAGTGAGAATCCTTTCATGATATTAGATATCCAGTTCATGAAAGAGCTATCCTGTTTAACAAGGGAATTGGAAACTGAAGCTTCTTGTGTCTGCCTTTTGATTCTTTTACTCTCAACCATCAACTGCTGCTGGAAGTTCAATCTCTTGCCTGTGGAGAACTGCCCACTACTGTTACAGCTTTCAATACTCTCACGACTTTCTTCCTCCTCCTTTGATGAAAACTTTACGTTACCATCCCCATCAGACAATGCCTTCTCCTTCTGTTTCCTGCTAATCAGGCGATTTTTCCTATTACTTTGTGAGAGCAAAACTGGAAGATTCTTTTCATACTGAGATTTGTCTACAATCTCATTAGATTTTGAAACTAGAGCTCTACTTGTTGCACCACAGATAGCTTCACGGTTGAAAGCTTGCAAATCATTCTCAGCAGTTGATTCCAGTTTTTCAAAATGACTTCTGGTGGAAGAAGTTAATTTAGTTCCAGGAGCACCAGAACTTTTACATTCAATTATAGGATAAGCCTTGGCAGATGAAGCGTCATCTGTTTCAAATGCCTGATTCTTAACACCCATATCTCCGCCTCCACTTGTCTGATCTCTTGCTAGTGGATTTTGCTCCATGCCAGCTTCACGTTCATCTGCTTGTGGCAATAAATTGTCAAACTGAATTTTGACAATTTGACCTGCAAGAAAATCATGACACAGGAAAACAAAAATTTAAGGCATGCACAAAAGGAAGAACTTTCACTTTTCCTTTGACAAAAGCATATGATTTCAACTACTATCCCACTCTAAACAGAAAGAAAAAAATTTAACGACTAGGAAAATATGCTCTTAGAGAGAACACCTAGTGAAATTATTGGGAAATTTTGTTCCTATTATTGACAAACACATAAATTAGTCACAAGAGCATGACTATTTTCATAATGTTCAAAGCAAGATAATGAAAACCGAGAAATGATGAGGGTATACATTTACCTGAAATAGTAGAAACTTTCTCTTTGTTTGCTTCAGATATCTGAGCAGTTCCAGCATCTATTTGATCATGAAAATTTCTCTCAGTAGAGCTCATTTCTTCCATATCACTTTTAGATCCTGCCAGCCCAGAGTTTTGTGGAATTGAGAAAATGGTAACAAGCCGAAAATTAACTAAACCGGCAAGAACTATATTATTAAATTACTAAGCAGGATAGCTGTCATGTTTCCTTTTCCGTCTGTATTGTCTATTTGAACTAACGGTCTTTCATACACATATGGGGGAATTCGAAGATTTAATTCTTACCTCTGCCTTGTTTTTCATATTCTTTACACTCAGGCTTGACACCTGAATCACTTGTGAAATCCTTTGATAGAATATCATTACCAGAAATATCGCTTTTTATGCACACAGCAGCTATAGGTTTTGAAAAAACACCATCTGTTGGTCTATTAGCTGTAGACGTCACACCAACAATGCTTTCTGGCATACCAAGAGCAAAATTGCTTGGTCCAACATCCCAGAAGAGGGATTTCTTCTCATCAGCAAAGCTTGAATCGGCACATTTAAGACTCAAACCTTTGTCTGGAGACCAAACTAGTTCAGATAAGGGGCCATTGGCAAAAAATCTCATGTCTAGCTTGGAAACTGCATTTGCACCTGCACGTGAGTCAGTTTTCAGGATGCACTGGTTAGAATAATTCATACCAAGTTGCAAATCTATCTTCGGCCCCACTTTCTCATTTCCAGCATTCATCTTTAGAAGGATAAAATCTCCAGTAGCTCCTGTAATATGATTACAGTTCAAGTCAGCCTTCTTATTGCTCGATATGCAATACTGCAAATGAACATAACTCTTTTAACAAAATTTAATCCCCTGCTAAAATAAAGCTAAATGTAGATATATTCGTCCTAGTAACACTATTATTAATTTGCTCATCCCAAAATTTTATATAATTTATCTTATTGGCTCCTCTCTTGATAGCCTCATGGCCTTAATTCAATAATCTAAGCTCCCTGAGAAAATTGGTTACCATCTAAGTATAGTAAAATATATGAGTTTTACAAGATGCATGAGACATGTACAAGTAGGTGTTGGGCGTTTGTATAAATGAAATGATTATATAGGTTTGATTATATTTTTTTAAAAATTTCAAAATGATTATATGGGTTTTGATTATATTTTTTTAAAATAATTATTGTAACCAACAAAACATAGTGTTTAATTGGACTTAAGTTTAGTAATCCCAAACATTCCTATTCATTATCCTATGTGTTTAATTGGACTTAAGCTTAGTAATCCCAAACATTCCTATTCATTATCCTATGACAAGCATTATCAATAAGGTTACTACAGATATAATAGTCATCTTTTCCCTCCTTGTGACACCAACGCCAAACTCATTCTCCAAGGCAATTATACTCCCAAAGTCAATTATAAAAGCTTCTCCAATTCAGGAAGACATTATCCGAAACAAATTCCTAGAAATACGTCCTAAAGTCAGTTATTTAAAATTGTTTTCCCATAGAGCATTAAAAAGCTAACCCATCTGCGTTGTTTCTGACTGTAAGTCAACAAATCAAGTCGTGAACAGCTACGTATTAGCAACCATTGATTAGATAAAGCACTAAACATCGAAAAATTCCCATTGTCAGCAAGACATAATCATACTCAATAAGAAATCAGAGCAAATCCTAGAAGATTTCACCAATTTTACATGCAAGGAAATGCAGGTGAGACCGATCCAAGGCTGAAGCAAAGTTCTGAAAGACATTTGAAGTCCAGCAGCGAAGAAAATGTTAAGAACGAGAGAAACAGACCTTTTATATATAAACAAACATGGAGAGAGAGGGAGAGAGGCCCAACAGGACTGGTGCAAAAGTGGATATACTTCAGTGGTATTTCCCTGTTAGCGAAAGAGGGAGAGATTCTGCAATATGTACCTTCCACTTCCAGATGCAGCTATGTAATGGGTCAGTTCCATGAAGGCATTAAACTTGGAAGGAATGAGAGGTTAAGCATGTGCCACGTGAACGAATTTCATGCCAGTGAGGCCCCAAGACCCAAGGTGGCGTTGTGTTTGAGTACAATAGGATGAAAATTTTTCTATCTGCTGTGATAACAGTCATTTCAATTTCAATCATTTCCGAGCCCAAAGGGTCCATGGTGAATTGCATCCATTTCATTGGCTTTTTGTTTAAAAGACAATGAATGATCATCCTTCATGTCATTTAGTTGTTTGTTCATTTTTATCTTATCCCTATATCCCTCTCTTGCTCAAGCCTGCGCGTTCTTTTTGTTTGCTGGCATATTTATATTATTCAGGAAAATTCAGGATATTATTACCTCTCGCACTCACTTCGTTTATATATATATATATATATTATAGTTTTAAAACATACATTAATTATAATAATTATATTTGGACATAAAAAATTGAATTAAAAAAGTTTAAATTAATATAAACATGTATTAATTGTTTATTATTAATATAAATTATAAAGGATAATTAAAAATTTTATAATAAATATTTATTGAAACATATGATTTTATTTGTTAGATAAATTAATTGCAACCTCATTGTTATCTCGAGAATACTTTAACATATTTAGTTATGAATTCCACACTTACACACCCTTTTTTATACAATAAATCATATCCGTCACTTATGTTTGTACAATGAATTTCATCCCAACTTTTTTCATTACATGTCCCATATTATTTTTTATTTTTATTTATTTTAAAAACTAAAGGCATTGTATATTTTATAAGAAAATACTATGCAAACAATTAGTATCATATACATTGATGGTTGATATGGATATTGATTTTACAAGGGCTATACTAAATGCAAATAAAGTTATGCATATAAATACATTTTCTCATGTATTATAGGAGTACAAAATTTGTCAAATAAATTATCCTATTTATGACTAATAAATAACATTACTTGTTGTGCCAAACTTGATATAAAAGTTTGTATTTCAAGTAATGACACTCTTGGTTGGGGTTAGCTATATTAGGTTTAAAAATAAAAAAAAAAAAGACATCACTTGTTATGAGTTTTGTTATGTATTGCTTTTTAGAACATATATAATATATTTGCTGCTAAATAATATTTTTAATAAAGACAAACGTTACACGGACAAAAACTTTGTTTATTTTTAATCTGAAAAAAGAGATGTAGCAGTAATGATGTATTTTATTTTTTTAATACATATTTCGTAAATAAATAAGAAATTATTACATATTCAGATATTCTCATAACCTTATGCATTTACATTCTATTTACTGAAGAGAGAGAAATATGTATACGTTAAAAATAAAAATATAAATTAGCCAGGGAAAATGGTAATTAAGAACTCTATAAGATCATCAAGTACAATTAGAGACCTCAAATTAGTGAAATTCTAATATATATGAGCTTATAAAATTGCCTCATTTGAAAAATGAAAAAAGACTATTAAAATTATTATGATGAGTTAGGACTATTGTTAATTTTAGTTAGAAAGAACCAAAATCCACATTTAAAAATGTGTTGTTTTTCAATATAAAATTCAAATTCACTTATGAAATTTTTAAAAGACACTTGGGAATGTATAATAATCACTTAAAAATTTATTAAAGTCACTTCTAAATATGAAGTCAATCACTTATAAATTTTTATATTTTTTAACTTATAAGTAAATCACTTGAAAAATCAAGAAAATGTACTTCTATAATTACTATCAAGAGTTAAGATTATTGTTAATCTCAATTGAAAAAACTAGGATCCCAAATATTATGGGTTGAGACTGTTAAAATTATTATTATGAATCGAGATTATTGGTAATTTTATTCTTAAGTGTGAATCCTAATTTTTTCAGCTATAATTAACAATAATTCTAACTTATAATAATAATTTCAATATTTGAAGGCAATTCTGTAAACTTATATATATATATATATATATATATAAAACTTCAAGTAAGGATCATAATCCTTTATTGAGATTTTAATAATTTAAAGTCCCATCACTAATTATAATTAATGATCTTATAAAATTATTAATTCTCATTTTTCCAATTAGCTATTGGAATATTCATTGAATAGATATGCTATAAATGATGTGGCATGCTGGGACTATCTAATAAAATTAATGAATACTTTAAAAATTAAAATACCAGACAATAACAGGAGAAAGAGAAAAGGATGGGGACTTGTCCAGTGCTTTAATTTTCGAAAAAATAACAATAAATTTTTTTAAATTATATAAATAATATTTTAATCCCTTAAAATTTCATAACTCCTTTAAAGTAAGTTAATAAAAATAATTAAATTATTAATTTGCCATATATTAATTTTGTTTAAAAATTTATAAATTTTCTTTTTAAAATCACAAGAATTTAATAATAATTTATAAATTTATATTTGAAATCTTAATATTTCTCAAATGTTACAAATATCAATTGCTATTAACAAGTTTTGTTATAAGATTCACAATTTTTTTTTAAATTGCAAAAATTTAACAATTCATAAGTTTGAATTAAGAACAATTTGATCATTTATATTAATTCTTTAATGACAAAAAATTCTCTAAAAATTTAAAAAAAATGATATTTTGAGAGACTAAAATATCATTTAAAAATTCAAAAAATAATTATTGTCATTTTTTCTTAATTTTATGTTTGTGGTGAACAGTTGAATAATAAATTTAATAATGTAAAATTGAAAGCGAACACCGACATCTTTTGGGTGCAATTATTTGACTTGGTTGAGAGGTTTTTGAATGTGAACCACAACTTTATTGTGTAATGTTTCGGACCATTCTGCATTATCATCGTCAATGCCCATTGCCCTCGTTTACATCTCAGGAACTCATCACCAAGTCCTCGTCACTTGATTTAATTCACACTGTTCACATTTCACACCTCCCCGAGAGTAAACATCTTCAGTTATTGCAAATGAGTTACATGGAATGCATTTTAAATTATTAAAAATCCACATAAACCAATGTCTTATGCTCTGACCTTAAAATTAAAGGGATAATAGCTCCCTAGATTATTAATGACCATAATGCAAAATATGACCTTTATAATCATTCTAAGTCACTGAAAAAAAATTAAGGTGAGAAGCAATAAAATTACTCCAATCTATCACATGCATCATGCAGTGTTTTAGTTTTTGTAGCAAATACCAACTGCTGCAATTGAAGTTCATTGAACATATTAAGGGTGTCATTAACTTACACAAGAGTACAAAGTCCAGACAACAAATTAAATGGGTAAAAAAATAATAACTTATGAACTATACAGTGATAGTCAAAGCAAAACTAAATTTAACTGGCTGGTCATATAATATATGACCCTTGGGCAGACTAGCAACATTCACCCCATTTTATACTATCTCCCAGGCCAACGTCAAACCTATGAGAAAACTTACGCAAATTTAATTCATCATTTCATCTAGTTCACATGCTTCCACCTTTTTCCTAAGAAAATTAATTACAATGGAGAAATAAAAATATACAGCCAACAGAACGAAAGCATGGGCACAATACAGGAATTGACGAAGACACTTGACAATCTATAAGAAAATAGTTTCATCTTTAACTAGATCACTTTATCACAATCAAGGAGATGGTCATCGAAGTTTTCATTACTAATCAGGGGCTAGTGTTTATCAAAATATGTACAATCATTGATAATTCTCCTTCAATGACCTAAAGCTTATAGATCTTTGAATGAAAGTGGCTGCAGAAACAATGGCCTTAAATTATGGCACAGTCTTTTAATTAGTGAAAGTGGCTTGAAATTATGATCATGATAAGCAAGGTCTGAAATCATTGCATAATCAGTTATATTCTTTAAGACCTTAAGCATGTCAAACTGTAATGATTTGATAACTTATTTGACCATGCAACGTATGAAGGCATCACAAATGGAATAATCACCAATACCAAAACTTTTAAAAGGACACATTCAAATTAGAAGTTATATAAGATATTATATGTAAGGATCTCTTCCATTGCAATTCAACAACTACTGAAGTAATTCAAGGAAGCATAAAAGCACAAAGCTGAATGAGGAAATGACACATTAAAACAGAAATGGCATCTAAAATTGTCAAGGTCCACATGAAGACCCCGTAACTTGTCTTAGAAACTTATGCCCATAGAGTTTATCAGGAAATAGAAAGTCATGTGCAACATTTTGGAAACATTTCAATACTAAGATTTCCACAAGGATTTTGGGCTGATTAAACATAATAATATGGTTTTTTTTTCTTAAAAAAAAGTTATGTCCATGACCTAGACTTAAGCTCTAATGCTATGATCTCAACATGAATTGTTTTTCATTTTCTCTAGATATTCTACAGCATTCTTTTCAAGTTGTCCCTGCTCATACAAATTAGAAGCATAAAAAAAACAATAAGAAACATACCAACATTTATTCAAGAAAATGTTAAAAAAATTAGAATGTAAAGAAAAATATTGGATAATTTACATTCTTCGTCCGTCACCACTAAGATTATATTTCTTATGTTTGAGACATTGTTGCTTGTTATTTTCCCACTTCAATTTTTATTTTTTTTAAAAAAGGTTGGTTATTGAACAGTAATAGAAGTATAAGCATTTAGTTCAAAGCAATAATACACAAAAACCACTTCAAGAATTACTAATACTAATTCTGATTTAAAAAAAAAAAGGAATGACTAATACTTACAAAATGAAATGATTGATCTTCAACCTTGTTTCATTCTTGCTGCTTCATGACTTTTCTCCCATGTTGAAATACTTGATAGCTTTTTGTGTGCTCTGCTCAAAAGGATGACTTATAGGAAGCAACACCATTAAGAGAAGGTTGATATCTTTTATTAAAAAAATAGAGGCAAAACATATAAACTTACTGCAATACTGTAAAAGCAAATTCATGATAACCACCAAAACAATGTTGGAATATATGATGAGATGACAAACTTACGGTCTTTTCACGGCCGAAGATCTCCTAAATGTTTGTATAAAAGCACATACATAAAATTATATAGAAGTTTAGAGAGATGAGAGCTGAAGTAAGACAATGCATAAATCTGCAACGGACCTTATTAGATCACATATGTACATTGGTTAGACAATATAT